AGGACTGGGAGATGGGTGCTTTTGCTTGCCTCTCTGCGCTGAGCCCTGTGGTGACAGAGGCGCCAGTGCTCACGCACCTGCTGAAACTGCTTTTTTTGCTATGGTCTTGTGGGTCTTGTAGATGCAAGCCTCATGACTTTCACAGGTAGGTGTTTTGGGGTCCTGTCCCTAGAGTGGGAGCCTTGAGTTGGGGTGCTAACCATGGGGTCCAAACCCTTTGCTCCTAGAGAGAAGCTGGGGTTGGGAGTTCCCTCCTGCTCACAGGACACAGTGCCAGGGGTGGGTTTATGGTGAGGGTGTGTCTCAGCCTTTCCTACTTGTTTCAATGTGGGTATTCTGTCATTTGCCTGATGTTTAGGAGTCAGTTTCTGGATTTCTTTTAGTGGTTATTGCCCCGTGTGGAGCTGTACATTGTGTGTTCGTGGGAGGAGGGAGTTCAGGAGCCTCCTAAGTCATCATCTTGGTTGACCCCCCTCCACATTCTAATTCTACATTCAGCCTATTTTAAAGTGCCTTCATTCTAAAATACTTTATTCTAGGATAAAGGGTGTGTGTGTGTGTGTGTCTGTGTGGTTTTATTTTTTATGCGGTTTTTGGCAGGTTTTTGTTTTGTTTTTGAGATCAGTTTCTGTTATCCTAAGGTAGTTTATAAGATGTGATATTTGTTGTCATTGAAATTTGTGTTTCTAGGTGATGCATACCTAAATTTCTAAGAGACAAAAGATATACCTCTGTTGTATTTTTAATTGTATATATTTTTTCCAACTATGTCAATTTGAAATAATTACTAAATGTCTTTACAATAGCAAAGAGAATTAAATGAATGTACCTTTGCGTCTTTATTGCTATTGTTTTGTGGCCTAAAAACATTGGTGATATACCTTACAAATTTTTAAGGCTAATATCTTTTTTGGTAGTCAGGTTTGTTTTTTCCAGGTGGAATAAAGACTTGATTGTTGCTTCAGCATCGACTATTGAGTTATGGATGTGCACTGTACACTTGATAAATGAATAAAAAATGTAACCAGAAGAAGTTCTATAGAAAGTAATGTAAAAATATAGTAAAAAGTAGGGAATTCAATAGTGAAATCTAAATTCTGTAAATGGCTTGTTTCAGGTGCAGGAGAATCAGTACACTGAGGCTCAGAGTGGACCTGATATTGAGAATGATTGCAAAACAGATGCTGGCTGTTGCGTTGTGGTACCGACTCCAGGCGGGACTGAGGAAAGAAATTCTCCAAATCAATCTTGTCAAAGTGTTTTGAAGTAAGTTACTGATTATAGCCTTCTTTTCAGTGGATAAGTCCTTGTTTGATGGTGTTTAAGCTTAAAGGGAAAAATTGAACCCTTGAAAATTAAAGGAGTAAGAATTTCTTTGAACTAGGGAATCAGGAAGTGAGCACTTTCTGAAGTGCTTTAACAATTCATTGCTAATTATATTTCTTTGCTGTTAGTCTAAATTATATCTTCTGAGAAAGGAGCTAATTCACCCTG